ATTGCAATTCCCAATACGACAGCGCCGCCGGCGACCACAGCCGACCACAGCCGACCAGAGCCGACAACGCAACCACCAGACCCTCTAACGGAGTCAATGAGTCAGTGGTGTCAGATGAGTGGTGTGTGATGAGTCGTGTGTGATGAGTGGTGTGTGTGATGAGTGGTGTGTGATGAGTGGTGTGTGAGATGAGTGGTGTGTGAGATGAGTGGTGTGTGAGATGAGTGGCGGGAGGAGCGGGAGAAGCGGGATGAGACAATAGAAAAGAAGAACCCCAGACTAAGATGTGGGGAAGTAAAAACAACCACAACAACTGCCGCATGCCAAACTTTGGAGAATTAGTAACAAGTGCATCGCTTCTAGTAACAAGTGCCTTACTAGTAGTAACTAAGAAGCTATTAGAAACAAGTGCCTTACTAGGAGCGTTCGGACGCTACTGACCTGCGAAGCATCGCCTTCCCGTGTTTGGTCTTTCTTTCGACGTTTGTGTCACCAAAGAACGGCGCTCCGTCCTGACGGCGCTTCGCAGTTGTCCTTCACGGTGACGGTGCGGTTGCCCTTGGTCTGCTGTCCAATCGTGTCCTGGCGATGTCTTCTTCGGAAGACGAGGACTGAAGAGTTCATAGAGGTTGATCGACAGGTTCGCTCTCAGCACTGCTCTCAACATGTGGAGCATAGCTACGAAAATATCGGGGAACAACTTTTATTTGTTCCTGTGTACACGGAGCAAATGAATTTCTGAGCTGAGCAGGCATCGTCACTCCTCGCAGGTGTAGTAGAAAACATACTCCCCTGCAACGTCGCGGTCGAAGGTGGTCACAGTGGTTGGCTCCGGAGGATACGGATCCTCATAGTCCGTGCATTCAACAGTTCCTGCGCTTCGAAGATGGTGTGAACAGCGAAACAAACACCCCAGACAGCACCTCTGGGCACAGCGATCCAGAAGCTAATTTAATAAATGGACAACCCAGTACTTCTATTGACCTTTTGCAGTCCATCGCCCTCAAATGGCTTCCCCACTCCAGCGCAAGCTTCACATCATTTCCCCTGATCGATTTTGACGTCGTACAGGAAGTGGTCATCTTGACGGTTTTCTGCGCAGCAATTAAGATGCTACTAGGAGCAAGAACGCTACTAGGAACAAAGGGCATCGCTACTAGGAGCAAGGACGCTATAGTATTTATTATGTTCAAGGCCACCAAGTAGCGCCTTGCGGAGACGCGCCCGTGGTGTCCCACATTTGGGACCGTGATGCGTCCGTCGCGTCCGAAAACGACTCGTTGACTGTCCTTCCACCCAGGAGGTGTCCCCCAAATTCATGGTGCGCGCGGATGCGGTCACATAGATCTTGGGATAGTGGTTGATGCGCTGACAGTACCCCACCTGGACACATCGCAATCGAAGCCGGAAAACCATGCTGTATGCTGAGGTTGGCAACCCCCCAATGCCAGAGCTTTCGATTGATCACTTGGTATCGTGAACCTCAATGACAGCAGGTCAAGGAAGCACAGGGTCAAGCCCAAAGTGCAAATTCTCCCCATCTGATCCTGATCCCAAAGAGAAAGAGAGTCTAAACGAGTCTAAACAGAAAGAATTCCCTCCGAATTCACGCATTACACTTTTTCACTTCGAAGCTCACCAAAACAAGCCCCGACTCCTGCCTGGCGATTGCTATCGGTGTCTTCGGAATAGACACCATCGCAGCCGGAGTAGGTGGTGCAGTTCCCACCATCCTCATAGATGCCTCCATAGAACTCGTAGGTTTCGCCTCGGATCCGGATTGGTGTGTTGGTCCGATCCAGAACGGTTGGAAGGTCGGTGTAGAAAGCTCCTGTCGTAGTATGTTTCTAGCGAACCTTGTTACTAGCAGTAACAAGTGCATCGCTAGTAGTAACGAGTGCCTTACTAGTAGTAACAAGAAGCTAGTAGAAACAATAAGCTAATAGCGAACCTTGTTACTAGTAGCAAGGCCAGGAGCCCCGTTTGTAGCGTCCTTTGCTCCTAGTAGCGATGCCAGGAGCCCCTAGTAGCTTCTTGTTCCTAGCTGCGGAGTCCAGTCGGAGTTGTTGGTTTAGGCGGAATCTTTTTAAGGTCTTTGACTGCTATTGACCGCCAAGTACTTAGGGAATCTGACCCAGGGGGTGTTTGCGGCGCAAGGGCTTTGCCAGCTGTGAGATCAATTGTCTATCTATTTGCCAAGCTTCAGACAGAGTTCGCAGTACAAATCTTGAGGCATGCCAGATAGTCTGCAGTCTTTTCGGGCCCTGTCTGAACTGTGTCGCAAGTCACAATGTTGCCACCATATACACCTTGGACACACAGCAGGTCTCAAAACACGGCGTCTCCAATCCCCCAAGAGCCTCAAGAATCAGGGTTTCTGCCCGGTCTTTTCGGAAATGCACTCCGGGCACTCCGAGCCCAATAATTTTGTGGAGAAGGGACACCGATGGTCTTCCCCGTTGATTCGACCACCTCATTGTCTGTTTCTCTTAGGGCTCGCCCGTCTTCGCAGGTGTGCTTGGCGGAGATCGGGTCGTGGTGGCTTCATTACACACAACTACACATTTTTTGATATAGGAAATATGAGTTTGGTGGTCCATGTCGTTGTTTTAGATCACGGGAGTATTATATTGCAAAGGCGATACCGATCCAGCAACCTCAAGCTTACCTCTCGCAGCTGGGGATGTGGAGGACATACTCATCCAACTGAATATGGTCAAAAGACACACCGCACAGCTCAATGTGATGCTTTATGGGCAAAACTCCTCTGGATCATACAACTCGGGGGGGGTAGAGGAAGCTACTAGGAGCAAAGGGCATCGCTACTAGGAGCAAGAAGCTACTAGTAACAAAGCGCATCGCTACTAGGAGCAAGGACGCTACTTCATATTTTCTGCAGTTCTCCGTTCTTCCGCGGAAACCAAACCCGCACGTCTTTGCAAGTTGGAGGCCTTGCAACGGCTTGCCAAGCTGCCATCAGGGTTTGGCCCCTCACAGCCCACTTCCACCAGACGAGACAGCCCCACTTGAGCACCCGTCGAGTCGGTACATTGGTAGTACCTCAGCTGGTTCCCCCCCAGCGAGGAGCTGAGTAGGAAAATCCTGAAGCGGCAAATGGCCTGTGAAAATCCTGAATCCAATTCTAATTACTAATTCTTATTGTTACTACTAGTAAGGCACTTGTTACTAGAAGCGATGCACTTGTTCCTAATTAGTAGCTTCTTGTTTCTAATCAAAATAAGATGTTCCATCTGATGTTCCTCTCTTTTCCATATGTAGCGTGGATCCGGCCCCACTAACGAGACCTACAATAATGTGTAAGTAGCGCAAACCTCCGTGCCTTTCCGAGACTCGCAGAAAAAAAACCAAGGGCAAACCCTGGACACACTCCTCAGCTTGGAACTTGGGATTATGTATCAACTTGGTCGAGTTGTTCGAGATTAAAGCCCCCTTTTGCATTCTTTTTGCACCCGAACATACCCGAACCACCCAAAGAAGCTACAATAACAGAAGATGATTCTGAGCCCTTCATCACATTTTTGAAATGAAATCATTTCATTCACACGAAATTCCGCACGCACGCCAGGTTGCACCCGGAAGAAACCAATCACATCCGGATCTGCCTAAGAGGAGTGGTCGCATGGTGGGCCTCACTGACTGTCACTGACTGTCAGGCCTCCACTCTTGTTTCACTTAGCTCGGGAATCACAGGAACCAGCTCTCCGCAAAACTTGCGGACCCTTTTCAGGGTGTAGGACTTTTTGTTGATCAACAGTTTTGCAGGGTGCTCAAGTCTGCGTGAAACGCGGCTGCCACGTCTATTACGGGATTGTTGGGTCTCACGATGTTTGAATCCAGGACCCATTGGTGTCTCACGAGCTTCAGAAACCCATCAGGTGCAGTTAAGAGGGAGTAGCCAAGCTCAAGGCAACATGCGTATCGATCTGTGTTGGGTCCAAATCGGTTCAGTGAACCAGCAAACATATCCCCAAACCGCAAAGAAATGCTTGACCCATGGCTAACTGTGAGTCATACCAAGCCAGAACCAAGCCGGATCACCACTCCAGTGATTGGCATGCCAAGGTCACGTTGTTCACGGTCGACACACTCGCCAAGCATGTTGGCGGGCCTGAGGTAGTTCCTGTCGAAAGACTGGAATTGTCACACCATGTTTCATCCAAGAATGGTCACACCCCAGCAAGACAACAGAAAAAACTAGCAACATAATCAATCTCAAGAGAAACTTTCAGTCCACCCAGAAGGATCAGGTGAAGAAGGTTTCACCAAGCTATTGCCCTCTGGAACAAACTGACGTGTGGTTGTTGGGCTCCAGGGCTCTCTGTCACAAAACTCCACACGAAGCTCATCAATAAGCTCATTGAGCACAACAACTCCTGGAGTTTCTGCAGGTGAACACATCAACTTGCCCAGCTCCTGACTCATTGCCTTCCACTGCCAGAGAATCATGAAGCTTGCCTTGGGAGGGCGAAAAAAGATTCAGGCTTGGCCCCCAAAACTGCAAAACTGACTCCGTGCATTCTCATGATGTCGATTTTGGGCTACTTCCCGCTGCAAACACTTGAAGCATCTTGAAATGGAAACGATATGATCATCTCGACTTCACAAAGCAGTCACATGGGCTATGATTGATGGATACTTCCACGGGAAGGAGCACTTATATTTACCTTATAAGTTTGACAGAACATATTTGTGCACGTTTGATCGAGTTGCAGTTGTCTGTAGCTGAGCTTGGGTAGTACGAGAAATGTGCACAGCCTCCAGTGGTGCGACAACGATGTTGGCAGTCCTTGCGGTGTTTGCTGTTCAGGGTCCATGCTAGTAGTATGGCCAGGAGCCCCTACAAGTAGTAGCGTCCTTGCTCCTAGTAGCGATCCCCTTTGTTCCTAGTAGCGATGCCCTTTACTCCTAGTAGCATCCTTGCTCCCAGTAGTATGGCCAGGAGCCCCGTTCGTAGCGTCCATGTCTTGACGGATGTCCAACTGCACTCCGTCCTCTGCACTGGACTCAGTGAGTGTCCCATCAGTCATCACGGTTGAGAAGGTCGTCCCGCTGACTCCTAGGAGCAAAGGGCATCGCTACTAGGAGCAAGGACGCTACTAGGGGCGCTCCTGGCCTTACTACTAGGAACAAGAAGCTACTAGGAGCAAAGGGCATCGCTATTAGGAACCAAAAGAATGCGTCAAAGATAACTCAGATTTTGACGCAAATGCAAAGCTGCTCCAGTGTGCACACGAAGAAGACTCCAATATAGAAACAAAGAACCTCAAATGACCCCTCAAAGAACCTTTACCCATCGGCCGTTGAGTCCTGATACAAAACATCCATCGGCCGTTGAGTCTGTTGCCTGGGCCAAGCAGCAGTGTGCGGTTGCCGTGTTTTAAGGTTTCGCGTTAGTCCAACAACACATGAAGGATCTGACGAAAGCGAAACCACTGACCGATTTGCGACCGATTCACCGACTTCTTCCCGTGAGTCCCCACAATCCGGAGTCGTGCTGATGGACAATATTGGTCCTTCAAAGCTGTTGGACAACAACTTCCATGGAGAAAGTGGAGTGGCCGCACGGCAACCTCTGGTTCTTCCGAACAAAAGGCTTCGTCGATTGGGAGGCCCAAATGCAGTCAAGGCACCAGACCTTGACAAGTTCGAGCACCGCCTAGTGCCAGTGATGTGCACTCATCAACAGATGCAGCACAGGTGTAGAGATTGTCAGTGGCCTTGGTGAGCTGAATCTAAAGTCTTCTTGCATGTTCAAAAGCAAGGCCTTTCCTCTCTGGACTTCGACGCCAAATATGACTGGCACATGCTCGTCCCCGCAGGAAGTCTAAGGCCCCCAAGATGGCAGGTTTAGCAAGAGCTCTTTCGGAAAGTTCCCTGTCAACTACATGCTCTCCAGGAAGACTCTTGCTGTAATAAGGATAAGCAAAATAAGAGTTTTGAAGTTTTGAAGTATTCATGAGTATTCCGTGTCTGACCAAATGCGTGGTTCTGGGCTTCCGTGTCCAGAACGTTGCACGCGTGTTCTTCGTTTAAATGCGACGGAGGCCACCGTGTCACACATCACCGGGAGATCGTAAGGGCACCGGTACAGACCTCGTGAAGAGGAGCCAACGTCTGCATCTTGCAACGCCAAAGAAGAGTTGCTTGAAACGTGCTCCCCAAGCTTGAGGCTCCAACTCTCAAAACAATTCAAGTCGAGCACGTGGTGAAATGCGTTGCTTCCAAGTCAAGACTGGCAGCCATGCTATAAAACAGAAGTTCCTAGCATTGAAGGTGTTTCCTTGAGAGAAGAAAACCTGTGGACTGTCTTAGTCTTGAGACCTCCATTGCTTGAACAGCAATCTTCGTTATCGTTGCTGCAGATCGTCCCATCGCCTCAGCATTCCGGGCACCACGAGCACAGCACACAGCAGCCCTTCATCTCGTGCGCCCGTGTCGTTTAACTCGGCCGAAGGGCGACACTCATATCTCTTGGATTTTTGGCTGAAGCCAAAACGCCAGGAACAACCTCAGTGGAAAGCGCACTTCATTGCAAGGTTTGGCCAGCCGTCTGTTGGCTTCCCTACCTTCTAGAAGTGCCGCCAATGTTTTGCAGAGTTGTCAAAGCGCACACTACAAAGATTCCTAAGCTCTTTGAGTCAAGCGGCTGGTCGCAGGATCTGCTCGCACCATTGGTCGCCGACATGAAGGAGAGCTACCACTTTCTGCAGTCATGATCAATGCCTCAGTATCCAGAAACCCTAGGAGCCAAGGAACTCACCGAAAAAACTGAGCTGAAATACCATGAAGTTTGTTCCTTTTCTGCAGTGAGGCAGGCCCTAGGGTGTTGGGGAGTCCATTGCTTCTCACCATCAAGGACTCTTCAGCCCAGGCACTCCTTCCGGAAGCGAGGCTGCAGTGTAGGCATGGGCCACAGCACCAGTTGCGATCTCCAGCACCTAGGGTGCTGGATCTGCTGTATCACAGAAGCAGTAGCTTTGAGTGACTGACAGTGACTGAATGATGTCAAGTTTCTCGCTGCCCCTCTCTCGGTCTCTCGAAAAGGCGGAGTATCTTCAGGTGAGATTCGGCTGTTCTGATCGAAAGCGATGTTCAATGGGAGATTAAACTATTGACGCTGCAGCATCTCAGAAAATCAACTCAGTCATTTCAAGACTTTACCACATCCACTGTTCCACGCCTCACCTCTGGCAAATGATGAAATGATGAGCTCTTCTTGTCAGGGACTCAGAGTGAGTAGTAACTACTGTAGAACATGACCAACTCCCTACCCAGCTGATCACTAGCTTGGCACCCATCGCTGGGCCGTAGGATCATAGGTGAAGCTTGCCTTTTCCAAACCCGTCTCCAACTCATAGATCTCCTGTGCGTTGCTTGCGTTGCTCGTGCTCTCAAAGCTGGCCGCTTTTTCTGACCGCAATGGTTTTGTTTCCCAGCGCAAGAGCGGCTGACGGGACCCGTAGCAAAAGCAGCTGTACAAATCATATGAATGCCAGAATGCCCAAAGCCCAAAGCCAGATAGGTGGGTGAACATGTCTAGATTAGGTACTTTGGTTTATGCAGGTCTGCCCGGAGTAAACCGTGTTGACCCACGGCCCAGTTGGAATGTTGCGTGAGCAGACTGCTTCTTATCTGCTCAAGCTCTTGATCACGCTACCTGTTGAAAAACGTTCCAACTGCTTTTCATGACTGGAGCAACTAATTACCTCGCACACACCATTCGAGCCGTCTCCTCTTGAGGATATTGGTACAAAGGCCAGCCTCTGTCATTCCCATTCAGGATAAAGTTGTAGTCTCCTGCACTTCAGAAACTCTGGAAACTTGTTCTGGCACACTTTTTCTTCACTGAAATCCGTTCCGACGCCACGCGAACGCCATTCCGACGCCACGCGCGTTCCGGAGACGCTTCGACGGAACCACCCTCTTTTCCGTCCTGTGACCGCTGCATCGGTGCAACCTGAAGGGATTAGAAAGAAGCTATTAGAAACAAGTGCATCGCTTCTAGTAACAAGTGCCTTACTAGTAGTAACAAGAAGCTATTAGGAACAAGTGCCTGAAGGGATGTAGAAGGTGTTCGGCATCTTCGGAGCTAAGCCTCCCCGTACCTGCAACGGAACGTGCAACCTTCAATTGTCACCGAAGGAACCAGTGCATCTAACGTTTTTTTTTTTTTTTCGGTTCTGGATGGTTCCGGTTCTTTTAAGCGAAAAAAAAAGACCAGAAAGAGCGAAGCAAAGCGAAGCAAAGCGAACGGCTTTCACCCGGCCTCTGCTTCGCAGAGTTTCATGTCACCAGAAGCCTTTCCTCGCTCGGGGTGGGAAGATTCGGATCGCTTCGGCCGAAATCGGCGTCTTCCACGGAAGGATCCCAATTCTCGAAAGGCAACAATAGCATGGTATAGCTATAGCAACACAGCACCACAGCTCAGGAGAAAATGACCTTGCATGTGTTCAAACTGCGGTGATTCATCTGTTTAAATAGGCAACCAAATCTTCGAGTTGTGGCAGATGGTCGCAGCACGGCAAAATGCAAATTGTCCGTGGTCCACTCTGTGGTCTCTCCAGTCCACTTTGTTCCAAGAAAGAAACATGAAGAAGTGAGATATGAAGGAAGGAAGGACGGAAGGAAGGACATTGCAAAGTCAATTTCAATGATCTTCCCAAAAACAACACATGAACACGTCTCATTCTTCGTACTGTAGAGCCGAGGCACGAGTCCAAATCATCACAAAGCGTCCCACCATGGGTGCTTTGCAGGTCGCATTGCTCCAACCTGAACGGAACATTCACCACCACCCAAACATCCCCCCTTTGCTCCTAGTAGCTTCTTGCTCCTAGTAGTATGGCCAGGAGCCCCTAGTAGCGCCCTTGCTCCTAGTAGCGATGCCCTTTGCTCCTAGTAGCGTCCTTGCTCCTAGTAGTAAGGCCAGGAGCAAGAAGCTACTAGGAGCAAAGGGCATCGCTACTAGGAGCAAAGGACACTACTGGGGGCTCCTGGCCTTACTACTAGGAGCAAGGACGCTACTAGGAGCAAAGGGCATCTCTACTAGGAGCAAGGACGCTACTAGGGGCTCCTGGCCTTACTACTAG